TAAAAGGCATTGGCTGCATGGTGCATATACAAACACTGTAACCAATACCTTGGTTGCTGATTGGCTAATGGTTACACAAGCCAAAAAACATTATGACATCATAAAGTGGCCAAAATCTGATCAGCTCATTTTCAGAAAGGTTTTTATATCATCAGGACAAAAAGAGAGAGAATCTTTTTTCCTGAAACTTTCTGAATCTCTTTTCAAAGATGGGGACACATGTTTATGTATAAAATACATGAAAAAGTGGATTTTGCATAATAGGTGACCTTTAAGTAAATCTAAATATGTGCTTTATCTGTCATATAGGCCTAGTGATTATCATTAAATGACATTAAATTAAAACCCATATAAATAATTTAGTTCACAAGTTAAGTTAGTAATTCAGTTATTTATTATTTGAAAATAAAGATATTCAATGCAAAATGAGTTGTGTTCCTGAAAAAAGTACTCGCCTCCTGTCATTTTGCAAAAGTGGACCCGGTCAAATCAAGTTGTGCATCATTTGGTCAATTTTACTTTGAGTTTTTATTGTTGCTACACGTTTCTCTTACGTTGGGGTTGAGTTGATGTCCGTTCCATCCACCCAGCTCCAGTGTCCCTCGTTCTCTCGCTCCACAAGTCCAATCCAATAATTGTATCTAATTTCAACAACTTTTGAAATGTAGTCCTATAAAAACAAAAAAAGAGAACACCAAAAGGTTAATTGAGGCCTTTGCTGTCTTTGTGTGCTCCCTATCAGAGCCTGCATTTGCACATTCAAACAGTCGCTGGTTGAACGTAACAAAGGACAATCACTCAAGTAATACTTTCTTTTCTAAAATACTTTCCAATCTATTCTATATATACTTTTACACCACTACATTTCTGAGGTAGGTATTGTACTTCACTACAAATACTTATCACTTGCACTTTCAACATGTTAAAACAGATGCTTATCTGATCTGATGCAGTACTTTTATGCTTTTTAGGGTTTTCCCTTCTCTGTAGTTTGTTATATAGTTTTTGGTTTTGGTGCATGTAAATGATCTGCAAAGACTGAAATCCCAAAGTTCCCTCCAGAGGGAGTTTGTCTCACACACACTCCAACAGGCTTAGGGGCAGGACATCTCTAAGCGGTTGACCAATCACAACAGAACCGGCCAGCTAACCAATCAGAGCAGACTTGGCTCTGGTTTTAGACAGAGGGTGAACATAGGTGCTGCAGCGCAGGCAGTATGAGAACCAAATAAAGACATTTTGATCATTAAAGTAAACATGTCACAGTAGAGGCACCAAATACAAATATGGAGGTGTGTGGAGCAGTGGACTAGTGCGGAGGTGCTCGGATCAGGGGAACACAGGTTCAAACCCCACTGCAGTCAGCATGTCATTGTGTCCCTGGGCAAGACACATCACCCCAAATTGCTCCAGTGGGAATTGCCCACCGTATTGAGTATGTAAGTCGCTTTGGATAAAAGCGTTTAACAAGTAACATGTAATGTAAACATATGAACCTGAAAATGAGCATAACAGGGCCCCTTTAAGAAACATTTTGCATCCACGCGTTTTACTTGTAATGGAGTATTTTTAAACCTTTGTATTTATACTTTCATTTATTAAAATAATCTGAGTACTTCTTCCACCATTCAGTGAAGGAATACATCAGCAAAACAAAAGAAAGCTCCACTTGAAATAAATAAACCTTACCAGTTCCTCCGCAGTATTCAGAACCACCAGGTGTCCCTCCTGTGCTCGACACTGGTCCTCCGCTTTGCTCCAGGTCAGTGAGTTGGTAGCAGCTCCTCTCGTAAGAAACCCATCCCTCCCTGCAGGCTCCTGGTTTCATGAAGATTAGTACAAGTCTTATTTCTAAACCACAACAACACTGAAATCTGATTTTAGGCAGTGTTTATCTTGAACTGGGAAAAGTGTCGGTAAAGAGACCTCCTGCTCAGTTGCTTCACCTTTGTTTGGAAACCGAAAAATACAAAGTTAAATCAAGGGCAGCAATTTGACATCATTATATGTCACTCTCTAAATGTAATAGGTTACAGATTTATATCAAATGGTGTTATTAAGTAAAGTAATAAGCGATTTAAATTACTTCATGAAAGTAATGTAATTCATTTAATATGATAAATTAAACTGGGCAATTAAGATTAAAGGTCCTAAAAAGAAACTCAAACAAAGCAGTACAAACCTCACAGCATCACTTAACACTGATGACTGATACACTTTATTAAAATGTACTCAATAGAACTTAAACTAAAGTTGGACTACATGACAAACATGACATTATATTCTGCATTTAAGCTGTTTACCACACCCATTTGTAATGAGAAACATTTTGATTTGTAACTGTGATTTATTTATATTTTTCTCAGTAACTGCCACTCATCACCATTACACTATTATTGTAACTTATTTGATCCAGAAATGAAAAACGTCCCCTAACCAGAACTGGGTGATAAAGCTGCTCCTCCATTGATGATCCTCTTGAGGTTGAGTTTGACATCAGTGACTTCCTTGTTTAGCCGGGAGACTTTGAGACACAAACAGAAATAGTTACATGATAAGACGAGAGTGAATTAGCTTCATGAATAATGAATCAGCTGGAGGTGTTACATTTGATCCCAGTGACCACAGCAGGATCAGCAGCAGCAGCACCAGCACTCCATAGAGGACCCACATCAGGATCCTCTTCATGCCTACCAACACATTTGTTTTAACAGTTGATTGTGACTTTATTTCATACAAATAAAAAAAAACATTTACACATTTTACCCGTTGGTGCAGTCATTTGTGTCTCTCCATGGACAGGGCTGTTACCAGACGATCCAAACTGGTGATACTGAGACTCCATTACTTAAATAACTCAGAAAATACTTTATTAAAAATACTTCTTATGAAGTGAATACAAAACTGATATTTCTACCTATGTTGCTGTCATTTCAAAGTTCAAATCAAAGTTTATTGATGTGTTAGTGTTAATACAAATGTTCAGTCTGTAGTCGTTTGAAACTTTCCGAAAATAAGAGGTCACCTAAAACTTCATGTTTGTTTTCAAGCCGCATGTTAACTATTAACGGCTCAATAAATAAAAGAAAATTCTCTACTTTATACTGTATAATAAAAGTGCTCAAATACATACAGATACATTTATTTGTATGTTATTGTAATGTATGATATAAAAGTATTGTCTTTATTGATATTTGTATATTAAGTATTTCATTCTTTGTGTTATTGGTACATTAATGCACATAATATAGTCATGGATTTGTATGAATTTTGAAATGAATGATCGCAAGTAATTTCAAGAACAAACAAACAAACAAACAAACAAACAAACAACAAAGTAAAGATTCATGGCTTACCTCCATCAGACAGAATCTCTCTGGATCTCACTGTTGGACTCTGACCATGAAATCAAACACAAGTAAGAGTTTGCTCTGTTCCATATAATACTGAGTCTTTTACCCAAAATGCACACAGTTTTTTTGGAGGGGGGAAAGAGAAATTAGGTGATGGAACAACTTTGTCACACTGCACACATTAATTTCTTTCTTGGTATCATTGTATGTTTGAATCATTGACAATGTATTTTTTCAACATTTTCATGCTTCATTTGTTTAAAGTATATACTAGAAACATAATGCAAGGTTTCGTTGAAGATTGTGTAAGAATTCTTTGTAAGGTTCCCTCTCTATTCAGTTTACCTCACATCTGTCCTTGTACCTCTTGTGAAGTGACACATTTATTTTATCTACAGTGACTATTACATTTCTACTTATATTTACATTCATAAATATGCGTATTAAGGCCAAGCATATGGGGAAATCAACTATAAAGTAAACTATGAAATAAAGTCAAAATGTGAACAATACAGTAAACAATAAAATGTTTAGAATAACGTAAAGAGAATGAGGTTGAAACATCATGAATAAAGGCAAATTATCAAGAATAACCATTTGCGAAATAGGCATTACTGAATATTCTAGTAAGTCACCATTATTCCACTTTAATCTCTACCTGCAAAATAAAACCCATCTTCCTCTTCTCATTGTGTTGCCTTGTTCCTGACCCCAAATAATCTTCCGGATTCAGGCTACACTTGATACAAAGACACAAAGTCTTTATTGTCATATGCACAATAAATACAGCGTTGTTTTGGCAATGAAAATCCTAAATCTCAGGCTCCTGCAACAATTCATTTCAGACAGTTCAAAGTGCAAGTATTGTATTAAATACTATTTGGACATAATTGAACTGTACTTGATTCTTTCCGTTTAATGCTACTTTATACTTCTACGACCACTAAATTCCAGAGGAAAATATACACATTTTTTAATCCATTACATTTATTTAACAGCTTTAGATACATTTAACAAAATGAATAATAAAAAATTAATCAATAAATTAAGTCAATCAGAAAATGTGTTCAACAGTAAAAGGCTATGCGATGCAACAATACTATCGAGAAATGTCACACATAGGCTATAGGCAATTTCTCTGCACAATGATTGCTGATAATACTTTTCTACTCTTACTAAAGAAACATTTTGAATTCAGGTTTTTTACTAATAATTAAGTATTTTTACAACAATCTTTTGGTACTTTTACTAAAATAAATAAGTAAATGATCTGAGAACTTCACTGCTACAGGAACAATAACAGTTACCTGGAGTTTGAAGTTTTTATCCGGAGTCTCTGTAGTTCCCAGTCTCACCACGTGGTCACCCAGCAGCGCTGTCGGCCTCCACGTGACCACTCATTATAAAGTCCTTCCGGTCTCTCTGCTTCTCATTGAAAGGAAAATGGCTCTCGGACGCTTGTCTCAGGCTTTGCTCAAGTCTTCTCTGACCCAGAGCCGGCGTCAGCTTTCTGCTACCGCTGAACAAGGCCATGATGCATGTGAGTGAAGCTCCTCATTTTAGTTATCTGGTTTTATATAATGTCATGTATTTTAACGCCAACTAACAGTGACCTTGCTGAGCTAACGTTGCCCTTTTAGCATTAGCATTAGCACAACATCCTTGAGCGGAAATGCCAAAAACATGAGATTTTCAACCTGAAGACGTAGTCATTTCAGCCTGTCACCTCCTTTAAAACCTTTAAACTCATACATTTAATGTTTGTTTATTTACTTTGCTCTAATTAGGAGGCTAAAAAGTGGAGAAGTGATAATGTAAAGCTACGGCCTGAAGCTCAAGAGCAACAACAGTGAAACGTCAGGTCATTGGAGATACATAACTATCTAAGGTTATCTTTATTCCCCCAACTTGTATTAAGTTATACAAAACAGTTAACAACCATTGAAAGGGATTGAAGAATTGTCAAGTTTAAATAGTTTGTGCAGAGGATTTGAGCTAGATTGGGAAAAGTAAAAAAGAAATGACCTGATGGAAATACAAGTTCAATAATGACTTTTACATATTAATATTATGTTTTTATATTATTTTTGTTATTAGTGTGAAGACTAAAACACTCAAATAAACGGTACTGTTAAAAGTATCATGTGTATAATACCCAGCTAGTTAGAGACTAGTCACCTAAGTTAACAGGTGTCTTTATCATAACTGCTCTCATAGCTTAGATGTTGCCCCTGACTAACTTGATCATCAAACAACACTTTAATTAATATAACTTATTCAACATTTTAGTTATGGTAAACAGCACACATTAGGGGTTTCCTGGCCAACAATAAGTTGTCTTAACATTTCATAATGTCACACTTGTTGGGTGTAGAAACAATTGACTGAACCTCCATTTTTCTTGTTTCCAAAGCACATTCATTTCTTAACAATCTCAGTATGTTTGCACTTCTAATTGCTATATTTGATCAAACTAATTATTATTGTCTTTTTGTCTTCCAGCCAAGTTATGGAAGCGCCTCACTTATCTTGTCGCACTCCCGGGTGTTGCTGTGTGCATGTTGAACATGTACCTGAAAATGCAGCACCATGCGGCGCATTATGAAAAGCCAGAGTTCATCCCTTATTCCCACCTTCGGATTCGCACCAAGGTCTGACTCTATGTTACTTTAAAAAAAAAAATGTTGGAGTCTAGTTATTTGTCATTGCACAGAGTAAAATTACAGAGACAACAATATGCAGTTTAGAATCCAACCAGATAAAAGCAGTGAATTGTATTTTTCACGTATAGAAATAAAACAGTGGTGGAATTTAATGAAGTACATTAACTCTAGTCTTTTTCATATTATGTCGCTTTATACTTCTACTCTACTAGTAGTTTTAGACGCCAATATTGTTCTTTCTCTCCATTATTCAGTTGATAGTCAGATTATTAGCTAATGTAAAATATGAATTAGTCATTCAAATTAAAGGTAAAAAATAAAATTAGCTCAATCTTTTACCAGCTGCAATGAACTCATTAACGCATCAATAATTATAATAAGAAATGCACTAAATTGGGATGACCCATTGTGCTTGAAGTTCTTTTACTTTTGGTTCTTAAAGTCTATTTTGATGCCAATATTTTGTAGCTTTACTTAAGTAAGATTTTAAAAGCAAGAATTTTACTTGTAACAGGTTATTTTTGCATTTTAATAGTGCTACGTTTACTAATAAAAATCTGATTACTTCTTCTGCCTCTGTAAATAAATGGTTGGATATATAGAACTGCATGGGGTAAGAGATAATGAAGTAGTGTAGATAATACATTAGAAATATGCTATATACACTATACATCAGATGTATGGATATGATTTATTATCTCAATTGGTTTTCTTGCAGCGTTTCCCCTGGGGAGATGGCTCCAAATCCCTTTTCCACAATCGGGAGTTGAACGCCCTTCCTGGCGGCTATGAGGGCGACGAATAGTAAACCCTCCTCCAGACCTCCTGACTCTCTGGGGACCAGACCTCCCTCAGCGTTACTGGACCACACTTCCACTCTCAGTTTACTCTTCTTCTTCTGTTGTGTTTACCGCTGTGCTCTCAACATGGGGCACCTGAACCAACATTTAATTTTACTCTGGACCATTAAGCAAAATGTCAGCCTGATACTGAATGAACATTATTAAAGTAACTATTACCTCAATTCCTGTCTTATGTCTTGTTTTTGTTGATGTTGTGTTAAGGGCTGCAACTAACGATTATTTTGTACATTGTAGATTCATGTTTTGGTCTATATAGTGTCAGAACATACTGAATAATGTCCATCCCAGTTTCTCAAAGACCAAGATGGTACATTTCTTGTTTCTTCAGCACAACAAACTAATAAATCTACTTTAACATGATAGAAATGCGCATCAGTAAATCTCTATATTTGAGAGGCTAATGCTGCATCTTTTGATGAGAAATTCCCCATATTGATTATTCAGCTATCAAAATAGCTGAATACTTTTCTGTCCCATCAATTAATTAACTAATTGCTCTTTTTTTTTTAAAAAACACATTATTTTTCTACAGTAATAATTTAAAAGGTATAAATAATGTGTGGAATCTGGTCAGCTACTTCAGTTTTAATGAAGCCATTGTTTTTTTATCGTATCACTTTCCCCTTTCCAAACACCTTTTTTATTTATGTACTGTTTAATGACCCTTCAGATCCTAGGTCGATCCAAACCTGATTTCAGGTCGTTATTCAAAAGTAAATGCAGTACAGTGATGTGCCATAATCCTCACCCTTTTAGATTTGTTTTAATTACTTTACATTACACAATGAATCGTATATCAGCTTTTGTACAAATGTGCAATTTAGGTAACCCAAAAGCAGTTGAATAACATTTGTGGATTGTGCCACTCAGGGCATTATTTATAATTATTTCACTTATACATAAACTACGTTGTACATAAAGTACTACATCATAAAGGAAAACCAATACATTTAAACCATATATTATTTTCACAACCGACAATTTAATGACCTTAGGCCTATATTTTTATTGAACAAGGACCATGCATATACATATATTAATCTCATAAAGAGAAGGGATGCTATATGCCAGATTATAGCTAAACGCTACTTTCCATCTGCAATCCTTGAATTCCCCTTGTGTTTTTTTAATGTAATACATTTATTGCATTTAAACGAAATGTCCCTGTTTCACCTTACTGGATCTTTCTTACAGACTCCACCTCTTTCACGTGAACGCGCGTTAAGCCGAATTAGAAAATCCTGGGTTAACAAAGCTCGCAGATATCCAGCTTCATAACTCGGGTAATGTTTCTCCATTTCCTTCGCTTAGACACTTATTTAATAATGTGAAGAGTCCCGTGACGAACCGTCATCTCTAATAACATCGGATTTGTTGCTTTTAATCACCGTAGGGTTAGACACGGTTACGTTTTGATTACTAAATCTAGCATTGAAACATCTCGGATAACTGCGCGTAACCGCTCAGCCTCATAGGGGAGAGCAATCGAAAACCGAATCAAGACCCATGAATACAGAAAGAGGTGAGGATCATCTCATAGCATCACAAACTATATATAAATAATACTCTTTTTATTCTCATAAATGCATCTTCACACTTCCTTTGTGTATATGTTTTTATTTTCAGATTTACAGATGAGAAGAAACGAGAGGGCACATTTCTTCAGCTCCAAAGAGCAGGAACTAATATTGAAGTTGTATGAAGAAGAGAGAGAAATATTGACAGCCAAATCTAACACCACCACCGCCTCCAAACAGAGAGAGGAATCCTGGCAGAGAATAGCTGATCAAATAAACACGTAAGACATAATTATCTAAATGGGTTAATAATTAAATGTAGAATGTCGTTTTTAAATTTAATGATTGATACACTCTATATATTTTCATTCTCTTCTCTTTTTTTGTAATTTTAGCCTACTTAACATGAGTTAAAATCATTTGAAATTAATTGAATGAATTAGTTTAATTTGAAATATTACTCATACTTCACCTTTCCATTAATATATAATCTTATTATTATTTTTCATGACTTCTTAGGGTTTCGGACAGTGGCTTCAAAAGAACGTGGCAGCAAGTGAAAGTCAAACATAAGAATATCGTGCAAACAGGTAACTTTATTGCAAGTCTTCATTTACAATGGTTTGCCTTATGGAATATGATTTATTGCTGCTGCAGATTTAACTAACCAATAGTGTCTAAAGAAGTTCACATTTGCACACCCCTAAACATCTACAGTAAAATCCAACATACACATTAATGCAGCATTAATATAAGTGTGAATAACAATTAAAGAGAAACACATGATAATAAGAATAAATAAATACATGTATGCAACAGTATAAAAAATATATTTTTTTTATTTATATGCAATTGCAAGTCCAAGAAAGCTCAAATAACCCAGAAGTATCTTATATTATAGTAAAACACTCAGAGGAAAAATTGTACTAGTATTTTAAGGAAATTTTGCTGATAATATTGACATGAGTATGGCTTTAAATGTAGTATTTTTTACTTGTAGTAGGAATATCTACAGCGAGTAATTTATCGGAGGTAAAGGTCTTAGTGCTTCTTCCACCAACAGTTTTGCCTCTCAAAATGTTCTTGTGAAGCAAAAAGAAGACAGGTGGAGGTGCTGAGAAACCAGGGGGAACCAGGGACCCCGTCGCTGACCTCTGCAGAGGAGGACGTGCTGCAGCACAAAGACGGCCGGCTGAGAGTGGAGGTCCTTCCTGGGGGTGCCTTTATTGAGCCACTGACGGGGTCTGAAAGCTCTTTTATCAGTGGTAGGTGTATTTCATGTCTGATTAAAACTTGGTGAAGTATTTTCTATTATCTAACTCGATATTGTGCCCCACCCCTGTAGTCTCAGGCCATCCCGTCCTCCTCCTGCCGATAACTAAGACAGAACCAGAGAGTGTGAGCAGTGACGAGACCGACGTCAGTGACTCTCAGTTTGAAGGGGTAAGTACTTCTAAACATGTTGACATCACATTAGTGAAAGAACTGTTCAGATACCAACTTTGAGTAAAACCACTTATACCACAAGTTAAAGATCTACACACTGAAGATGTTACTGAAGATAAAGCTTGTAAGTAAAACCAATTTAATGTGCTTAAAGAAAATCAAAGCATAAAAAACTGTCTTCTTAAGATTATCATTACTTATACCTTAGTATAAAAGCAGGATTTTACTGTTTGTTGAGGTGAAGCATGTTAACCATGTTTTACAGAACTGTTAATAAGGATTAATATTACTATGGATAACTTCCCACAGCCCACATTTGAGATCTTGCAACCATGAAATGTTTTTGTGCAACAATGTGCTTTCTTTAACATACTCTTCAATTGCAAATATCTTAATTTGTTAAGGCTTTCAGACAAAGGCAGTGGAGCAAAAAGTACAAAATGTAGCTACCTCTTAAATATAGCGGAGGAAAAGAAGAAGGTGGCACGACAAGATTAGGCTCAAGTTTAGTACAACTACAGGACTTGAGTAATTGATTTAATGTTTTTCTTATAGGTTTTGCATAATAGCAGCTTCCAGGAGAAGGCTAATTCAGCATGTGCTACAACCGGTGGCAGAAGAGAAGCGGTGAGTTAAGTGTCAATACTGGGCTTTGGTACGATAACAGTTAGAGAAAACCAAAACCAATATGAGCTCATGTGTTGTTTCCTTTTGCTTTCAGAGGCATACAGAAGACATACGGGCGCTTTACTGCAACTACCTAAAGAAGGAGATGGATAACCGGGACCATCAGATGGCATACAGAGCACTGAAGATGAGGAAAATAGAGAAAGAAATGTTATTACTTGATAAGCAGCTTATGTGACCATGGTCTTTTTTTTCTTCTTACTATTATTATATGTAAAAACAATATTTCAGGTCGGAGAAAGTAATAAATTGCCTTTGTCTGAATGCACTGTTACTGAACACTGCCAATTGTATTATTTGATGTTTGCTATATGATTTATTGTCTAATCAAGTCTTCTGACATTTTTTTTCAACTTCATTTGCAACATCAACAGAAAAATATTGGGGACAATAAACAAGGGAACACACATTTAACATAACAACACATTACATTAACTCAAGACAAAATGTTCATTACCTTTCATACACATTTCCTGTGGGATTTAATGATGTATTTGACTGGTCAACATTAGAGAGCTTCAGTGGAACCTCATTAAATCGTGGGACTCTAATCTATAAGTAACAATTTATTTTCGCTATCCAGGAAATGGTTAGGGAGACAATGTTGAATGTTGGGCAGCCTTGCACTTATTAATGTTATTTTGGTCGGATAAGTCTGTTGCTTGTCTTTAATGTTACATAGTTAAGTTAACTTTTTTTGCAGTTTTGTTATAAGTCTGTAGTTAAAGAGTGGGCCCAGCTACAAAAACAAGAGGCTGAAAGGCTGCCCGGTCGCACTGTTTTATTTTACTTCCTCTTGAAATCCTGTGCACGTTCTCTCCGAGACTTCACGGATGTTAGCGCAATTTTCAAGATGGCGGAGTGCTTAGCGACACTTTAAGAACACCATTTACCCTGCAACAATTTAAAAGTCGATTTAGGGTACGAATCTGACCCGACTTAGTTGCTGCATATCTGCAGATTCCTCTCGAGAGCAGCTCACTCAACTTTGACTTAAATGCAGTAATTGTCTGACTGAGCTGCGCGTGCACGCTCAACATCTGAAGACATCCTCTATCGAGCTCTGAAAACAGGATTCATATTTCTAGAGCTCGGCCCATGGTAAAGATCAATGTATTCTACTGACCATGTGAAGCAGGATTACTGGTTCATGTGTATTTAAAATATGCAGGTCGCATTACATGGTTGTTCAGAGCAATTACACATACCGTTTATCCCATTTTAAGTTATTTGTTTTCTTATTATTCTTTGAAAAAACCTTAATCTTACTGTGAATAAAAGTGTCATTGTTCTGACAAAGCCCCCTGTAGTTTATAAAATCATTTCCAGTTTCCTTTAAATATGTGTTCAAGGTCCAACTGAAAAAGTAAATACAAACTTCAACTTGAGCACATGCTGTAGGATGGAAAATAGAGCTTACAAATAGTTCATTTTTGTTATGGTTGGTGTCATAATGAAGACATTGCATTTAATATGATATACCATACATAAATGCAATAAAATGGGCCACATTTTACACTCGCTCAAGGCAAAGCCCCTTTTATGAGACTCGAATTGTAAGCATATTTAAGAAAAGTTCAAACATTTTATGAATACAATTGCATATACCTACTTCAGTTAGCCTACATTTGACTGAAAAATATTGTTTGTTAATGAGGGCCAAGGATCGCCTGGCTACAAGATTTGACATAGAAAGCATAATCTCATCATAAAAAGGGCTAATACACGTTTTACAATTAATATGCCTAAAAGTAAATACACATTAGCTACGAGTAGACATAATGTAATTCATAAATAATGATATATACTTTAAATAACAAATATTTTAACTTGTGTAAATGCTGCCGATACAGAATATTAAAATCAAGTTAAAAAGTAAGTTGTATTTCTTGTACCACAATGTACGGCTCGTTGAATGTTCTGTCGATTCTAAATGGCGCACTTGTTTGTCCCTTGAAGCTCGCCATACTTTCACATGACTTCCACTACGTGACTGACCCGCATTCCTCAATTGGCAGCACTATTCTGTCAAAGTGGCTAATTTTCGTGGCGAATACAACATAAACAGTGGAAGAAAAAATATTTATCCACCATCCCATTGTGTACATTTTCCTCCGGCGCCTGTACGACTTGTAACAGATGTTTTTAGTAACTTTGGAGGATTAGTAAACATCTCTCTCGGACTCGCAGCTGAAGTATTCACTTATTTTTTCCGTTTTCATCTCCAGGCTGTCGGGTTGGAAATACATGGATACAAGATGACTGAAGACTAAGGAATATTTATCTTTCTCTGGGCTTCGTGTCGGTGATGGCTGAGCTCGTGCTGCCAGACTCAAGAAGGTAACTGTGCAATACGCAGTGGTGGAAAGTAACGAAGTACATTTACTCAAGTACTTTACCATTTTAAAGGACTTGTACTTTACTTGAGTATTTACTGTTGCTACTTTGTACTTATACCCCACTAGAATTCAGAGGTTATTCATGTAAATTTACTCCATAACATGTATTCTACTTTTCAGCTTTGGATTCTAGATGAGAAATGTAGGCCTAATCAACACTTAAATAAGACTTTAGTGGAGTATTTCAAGACCATAGTAATTCTACTTTTACCCAAGCAAAGGACCAGAGTAGTACTTTTTCCACCACTGTTAAAATCCTGTTTTTCATATTTGGTATTAAACAGTTTTACAGTGTTCACATTTTGCTTAACCTCTCCATGTTTATGTACAATATTTTTGTTTTATTTTATTCTAAATTGGAGACAATATTACAACATCAAATTACCCCATCTGGGGGATGAGAATAAATGTATTTATAACTTTGATTCTGATTTGACTTTTGATGCTCTATTGACCAAAATCTGCAGAATGGTCCAGTAACAGTCCCCTCTGTGTCTGTAGATAGTTACATCCAACCCATAGACTGATGTGTTAAATGCATTTGTGTTCAACTTAATGGTTTATTTGTTCAATTAAAAACAACAATTCCTCCCATTTATTTTTTTAATAGACAATCAGTTCTTGCACATTCTCCTTCTGCCATGCAACTCGCAATAAAAAAAACTGAGAAATAATAATATAAAAATCATTAGCCATAATATTTGAAGCATGAGCATCACTAAAGCTGCTTGTTAATAACCTTATCAATTAAAGGGATTTCATTCATTTATTCTCTAGTATAAAGTGTGTCCAGGGAAACCTTGGACACACGGTTTGCTCTCTAGTCATTCACTGAAGATCTCTTTTATTTCTGTATTTTTTCCGAAGGTGTAATTATTTCTTCCTCTATGATGGATCCAAAGTCAGAGGAGAGAGCGACCAAACAAGAGAGGGAATCTGCTACTTCTACCCTGAAGAGGTTTGTCCTCTTTTGATTTGTGGTTGTACTGTTGAGTATGATAATGTTTGTTTTTGAAGACCCTGTTTTGGGGGTTGATTCCTGTGTGTGTTTCTGTCAGACCCCTTTAGATCGGCAGGAGCTGCTCTGTGGTCAGCTGGCGGGCGCGGGTCGCTGTGTCTCTGAACTCTCGTCCTCTCCTGTGCGGATCCTGAACCTGCACCGCAACAGGTTTGCCATCCGCATGGAAGAGGATTTCTTTTGGGTGAGTGAGCACAATCCTGGACATTTTCAAGATGTTTCTCACTTTTGAGTCTTTGATTTTAATTTTAGGCACATTTTTTGTGTGTTTTGCAGGCTCTGGGTTGCTCAGTGGAAGTCCCCACCGCCAGTGTCTGTGAGCTCCTAGATCAGCTCATAAACCTTTTCTGTTTCTACAACGGCTCCGTCAGACACAGCTACCAGGTGCACTTTTCAGTTGTCTAGTAGTCTTATATTATAGAAGTCTTGTTTAGTTGTTTAGCCAGGTTTGTGGCACAGAGATGTTTTGTTTGTTTTTTAAAGAAAGACTTGCATCTAGTTGTAGACCAACACAAATAAGGATTTTATTCTAATATAAATACATTTGTGCTATATGCTTACAATAGATAAGAAATACAAGTGGAGATATTAGGTAAAATAATATAAAATATAAGAAGCTAAATATACATGCACGAAAAGACAGAATTCTTTGCACAATAGAGCATCTGTTAAAATTGTCGAAAAGTGACATAACTCAGGAAACAAGGTTATTATTCATTCTCAACTAGCAGGTACTTTTCATTTATTTATTTGCTTTTTCATTTTAGTTAGAATTATTTTTAAATGTGTGTATATTCAAAGATGCTTTTTGTAATTGAAACTCTGTTTTGCGCTGCAGCTGAACAGTCAGGAGACCCTGGCGTCTCGCTGGGCTCAGTATCTGTCCCACCTGCAGTCAGGATCCTCAGAGCTTCAGCACATCTTCAGCTGCTTGAAGACCATCGACTCAACTAATGTACGCACACCATTCTAAATGTAACCTGCAGTAGTGTATCACAAGCTCCTCCTGCATAAAGCTAACCTCAAACAGGATGTGAATGTCACAATGTCCTGTGGTCTCTTCAGTGTGTCTTAGCAATGTTTTTTTTTGCACATTCATTCACAAGCTAGAAACCAAATGCCAGTAAATCCGGGATATTCTGAGCCCTATGCGAAATTGAAAGGTTGAAACAATGTAAACATTTGCTCATTTTGTAAGTAACACATTCACTAAGTGTTAAAGTTATTATCTTATAAACAATATATTTGTCACCTTTCAGTTTTTGTGCTTTTACAAGACATGCATGCTTACATTTTTCATTCTTATCCCCAGGTTGACCCCCTTCTGCTGCTCAAAGCTGCCCTCATTCTTCAGGCCTGTCAGCGCTGCCCTCTGGTGTTAGCAGGCTGTATTCTTTTCAGAGGAAGGTGAGCTGACACTTCCACTGTTGCCAGCTGTCAGTCGAATTGTTTATATGTAATTTTTTGTTCCTGAAATCTGACTTTTCTCCACAGAGTTGTAAGCACGCAGATGTCTCCCCAACTCACAATGAAGGTGATGGTTCATGAGAGTGGGACATACACAAAGGTAGGACAGTCTTAAGCTTTTCTCATCAAGGCTTTAAAACACTTGAAATAGAAAAATAATCCCCTAAGAAGTGGCCATTTATTTAAAAATATATATATTATGTTTTGATTTGGTTTCAGTCTCAGAGACCCAATGGACAGAGCAGCTCATTTGGCAGCGCTGTCAGCTCCACCACTGTGTTCCTGACCCCGTCTGAACTTCAGTACCTGCAGTCCACCCCCGTCGACAAAGATTTCAGGTAGTGTCTGCTCTGAGATTCAGTTTGAATAACATAAAGTATGTGTCCTAATTTAAACATTAAATCCTCTTTTAATCGAACTCTGGGCTGTCTGGGATCTCTGTGAATTTGGACACTTGCACCCAAATTAGTTTTCCAACACTTAACATCTGACCGATGATAAAGGCTTCTGTGTGTTGCTTTTTGTCTCTGTTCCTTTGTACGTGTGTAATTCTGTCTACTTTAATGTGTTACCCACACAAAGACAAACCAAAATCTACTCATTTGGACTATCCAAATGTACTGTGAAAACACCCTTACACCAGCTCTCTAAAATGTGTTATATTTCCAGCAAATTCTGAGTGTCTCAAACTGTTTTCTACCCACCAGTTCCCACTCTACTCCACACAAAAACACCCCCCTAAAGAAGACCCGCCTGTCAAGAACGTTATCCGACACTCCCTCCTCCACAGAGTCAGAGCCGTCTGATCCAGGATCCTCCCAGTCTCCCCAGAAGCTCCTCAGCCCTCACCTGTCAGCAAGCTCTGTGTTTAGCTCAGATCCATCACAAAGCACCCCCGATCCTCCCCCTCCGCAGCCTCTCGAGCCTCCTTTCTCAAACGGGAAACACTCCCCTGTGGAGGAGTCGCTGGAAGAGTCGTACTATCACAGCTTTCACAGCAACGGAGAGGGAGGCAGTCAGATAGATAACGGTGGAGACAGCTCAGCGTTTGGAGAAAACTCCCATCTAAATGGAGGTGGAGTCGATGGAGCTTGTGGGGAAGAGTTTAACTTCAGAGTAGCTGAGGAGTCACATGACAACAAGGTTTCTGAAGAGGTCAGCGGACGTGGCTGTGGGAGAGTTCAGGGCCACGAGGTAGAGAGGCCAGATCCTCCTCGCTCCGATGCTTTCGAGCACCCAGGGGAGAGTCCACTGATCCCCATGACGCTGTACCTGCACAGGGTCAAAGGGCTGGTGCTGGCTCTGTTGGTGGAGCCGCACTTCTTAAGC